TATTATTACTATTATTAATTATTACTTTTTACACTTAATATGTGCTATAGAGAAGCGATAACCCTGTAATGCTGATGCAGTACCCTTGGGAATGGGAGAGAAAAGATTTGTGCTGAATAAGCGAAGGGTAGCTACCAATTCTTTGAATGAAGAACATATCAAGAACGTTCAGACACGCTCCCCAAGTAAAGATATTCGCTTCAATACCAAATATATGTAAACAGTTGTAGCCGTTCTATTTAGTATTGACTTCTGACGTTTTATTTTGCAAACTGTGTCGACGACACTGTTTGTCCCCCGACAACTTACTATCAGCTGTATAGTCTCATAATTTGCTACAAATTATGTAAAGTAAAATTCATGACATTTAGAGAAATTACAAATAAATCATCATTATTATTATTATTTTTGATGACGCTTTCCTTCATTTTGAATAATGTATAAAGTAGGGTCCATCTATGCTGGAAGGAAATCTTTGAATCTACAGTAAAACATACTTGATAATATTCTCATCGCCCTACTGAAGTTTCTCATCTCTGACTAATAAATTTTATTACCTCGTGAATGTAACTCAACCTTTGTGATAGAATATGAAGGAAAAATCTCCTGCGTGATGTGTTGTACTAAGTAAACGGTTCTTGTTCTAACTTATATCAGGTTAGGTGCATAAGAGTTGTACAAAATTTTTTGAAAAAATATGCATTGACGGGTTTGTGGGGAAATTTTTTGCGACTATAAACAAGGGTCCTTTAAACTCTTAAAAAAAGATAGAGGGGTATGCCCTTTCCCCAAAATTTACTTACGGGTTATAGATTTTTCTAAACCCCCTGTTTTTGGGAGCCCCTCAAAATAAATTTCCCCCACAACTGCTGTTTTAAAATGATACCTTCACAAAAAATTTTGACAGGCCAAGGATGTCCAAAAGTGGTTTTCACCGGGGAAAGAGAGCACCGGAGGATCTCACAGACAACCAGTGCGGTATCGTCACAACTCTTTTTAGCGTTGAAGACCCCCCGGAAATTGGACATGTAGATGTTTCTCACTGCGGGGGGGAATTTAACGAACCCCAAAGGTAGTCAAAAGGTGGAGAAAATACTTTATCTTTTCTAGTAGATTTAAAAAATAGAGATCCGGTATTTTAAAGTGCCTCAGTTTAACTTGTCACCGGAAAAAAGTTGAAAGATAGTTACCTTTTTTGGGGGGTTACGAAATTTGGGTTAATGATTCGCACCAAGTAAATGATGAAACAGAAGAATTTTTGAAAAAAACTTTAAAACCCCCTGATAACCCCCTCAAAGTTTTTTAAAGGGTTTATGCACCTAGGGACTTAATTTATTATACTCAAGGGGAAGGCCAAAACCCTAACGGTCATAAAAGTATATGTTTTTAACTAAATTTTTTCGTTTTTAAACTTTTAAAATGAAAGAGCATCACCCCCAGTCACGACCCCTTTAAAAGTTTGGGGGAGCGAGTGCTTGTAAATTCCCCGAAGGTTAACCCAACTGGTATTAAGTGGACAAACTTTACTTTAAAATCAGGGAAACTCTCCCGGCAGCAAGACGAGACTTTACTTTGAAAACCCCCACTGCCACCCACATGTTCCCCTTATAAACCCCTTTTTATACCCAAAACCTATGCATTTGAAAACTATTTTGGGTTTAAATTGGGGCAGTCACGTAGCGCCCCCACAATACAATCACAAAAAATTAAAAAAGATGCCCAAAACCCCCTTTTGAGAAAACCCTTTTAGTGGGGCCCCAACATTAAAATTCATCACTCAGTGTTTTTCTCGCAAGTCATGTTGGGTTTGCCCCCATGGGCGGGGAAAAACGACATGGGTTTGAGTCCCGGCAATCGCAGTGTTTTTTATTGAAACAATTTCCCCTCCTCGTCGTTTACAATAATAAAAATACTGCTCGTGGGGGGATAGAAAAACCAAACGAGGGGTAGAGTTTAAATTAACTCAGAGGCAAGGGGGCCTGGTCCCCAGACCGGGGCCCCGGGGCGTTGAACCCCGGAACTCTTTTCCAGGTAAACTCCAGGTAAACTCCAGGCAACCACACCATCGTATGTCCTCGGATCACTGTAAAACACCTAGCTCTGCTGCGTGTGTGATTCTTGTAGGATTGAGTGGTCCAGTGGGTTAGAGCGTCATGTGATTTTCGCTCACCATGAGGCGGGCCAAAACGACATGGGTTCGAGTCCTCGGCTAGTCAGTGTTCTTACTGATTAAAACTACTCGTTCGTGGGATACAATAATACACACACATATATATATATATATATATATATATATATATATATATATATATATATATATATATGTCGTGCCGAATAGGCAGAACTTGCGATCTTGGCTTAAATAGCAACGTTCATCTTGCCATATAGGACAAGTGAAAATTTGTGTATGCAATAATTTCGCCAAAATCATTCTGAACCTAACGAAAAAAATATATTTGATTGTGTTTATTTAGTATTAAATTATTTTAAACGTATTTAAAATATATTTAGTTGGATTAGGCTTAAATAAATTGCGCTTGTTATAATAAGGTTAGGTAAGTTTTCTAAGTTTCTTTTGGTGCAAAATTATAAATTTTTACATCAACATTAATGAAAAAAATTTATCTTTAAACGTATAAGAGAAAATTTTAGAAAGGATTTAATTTTAAATGAGTTCTTGTTAATTGACCAGTTTTACATATTCGGCACGACACACACACACACATATATTATATATATATATACATATATATATATATATATATATATATATATATATAAATATATATTATATCTATTATAATATATATATATATATTTAAATAAAGGTAAGAAGAAGTTTCCATTGCATTTATGGATTTAGAAAAGGCATATGATAGAGTGGAAAGGGGAGCAATGTAGCAGAAGTTGCAAGTATATGGAATAGGTGGTAAGTTAGTAAATGCTGTAAAGAGTTTTTATGAGGATAGTGAGGCTCAGGTTAGGGTGTGTAGAAGAGAGGGAGACTACTTCCCAGTAAAAGTAGGTCTTAGACAGGGATGTGTAATGTCACCATGGTTGTTTAATATATTTATGGATGGGGTTGTAAAAGAAGTAAATGCTAGGGTGCTGGGGAGAGGGGTGGGATTAAATTATGGGGAATCAAATACAAAATGGAAGTTGACACAGTTACTTATCGCTGATAATATTGTGCTTTTGGGAGATTCTAAAGAAAACTTGTATAGGTTAGTGGACGAGTTTGGGAGCGTGTGTAAAGGGAGAAAGTTGAAAGTGAACAAAGATAAGAGTATGGAGATGAAGGTATCAAACGATTTAGATAAAGAAAAATTGGATATCACACTGGGAGGAGGAAGTATGGAAGAAGTGAATGTGTTCAGATATTTGTGAGTTGACTTGTCAGAGGATGGGTTTACGAAAGATGAAGTTAACCATAGAATTGATGAGGGAAAAAGGTGAGTGGTGCATAGAAGTATCTGTGGAGACAAAAAACGTTATTCATGGAGGCAAAGATGGGAATATACGAGAGTATAGTGGTACGACCATTCTTACATGGATGTGAAGCATTGGTTGTAAATGCTGCAGCAAGGAGGAGGCTGGAGGCAGTGGAGATGTGTCTAAGGACAATGTGTGGTGCAAATATTATACAGAGAATTCATAGTGTGGAAATTATGAGGAGGTGTCGAACTACTAAAATTATTAGTCAAAGGGCTGAAGAAGGGTTATTGAGGTGTTTTGGTCATTTAGAGAGACTGGAACAAAGTAGAATGACTTAAAAATCAAATAAATCTCCAGAGAAAGGAAGCGAGGTAGGGGTCGTCCTCGAAAAGGTTGGAGGGAGGGGGTAAAGAAAGTTTTATGGGCGAGGCTTGGACTTCCAGCAAGCGTGCGAGAGCGTGTTAGGAGTGAATGGATACGAATGTTTTTTGGGACCTGACGAGCTGCTGGAGTGTCAGCAGCGTAATATTTTGTAAGGGTATTCAGGGAAACCTGTTAGGCGGACTTGAGTCCTGGAAATGGGAAGTGCAATGCCTGCACTTTAAAGAAGGGGTTTGGGATATTGGCAGTTTGGAGGGATGTCTAAAGTGTCGTATTTGTGCGCCTCTGATAAGACAGTGATTATGTATGAGTGATGGTGAAAGTGTTGAATGATGATGAAAGTTTTTCTTTCTTTTTGGCTCACCCTGGCTCGGTGGGAGACTGCCATCGTGTTAATATATACCTATAAATATTTATATATATATATATATATATATATATTTTTTTATATATATATATTATATTTATATATATATTATATATATTATATATATATATTATAATTTTTATATAAATTATATATATATATAAAATGTTCACAATGAATTGCTCACACACACTTAAACGAAGGTAGCTGGTTTAAAATCATATTAATATTATAGAAACAATGGTTGTGCTTGTACTTCTAAAAATCTATGGTTACTTTGCACTTCTTACCCAAAAGCACAATACTCTTTTAAAAGAAGGGCCAATAGATGCTGCAGTGGTTTTATCAAAGCGTATCACAAAAAAGCAATTACCTAATATTTTGCTAAAATTTTATTTTCAACCAAATAACAAAGGAAAAGCTCCAATAATCTCATGAGACATACCCAAATGAATTCTTTGTTTCAGGAAAAGTTATTATTGAACGCTGACGGTGTAAAGCAAATAACGTAAAACCAGTACGCAATTGGTCTGCACCGTGCATTAAAGTTTGCTGGAGAGAATCCACTCAGTTTACTATAGAAAAAAAAGGCCCTGAAAACTTCATTAAAACTACGGTTCATTTCTGTGACAAACTTTTTTCCGTATATACTATGAGGGTATGTTTAACAAACAAAACTTAACATTTTATAGATAAAAGAACTTGAGTTCGAAACATTTTGTGCATCATACTTAATAAGAGAGGAGAACAATGTTTTGCTAAAAAGATTCATTTTGCATATGCACCATAATCATTTTTCTGATTTCACTGTCTTCAGGACTACTGCCAGAGATTACTGCAGGAGCCTCAGCAACTCACAGTACACCTCAGATCTGGCAACAGTGGACAGCTGTGAGCAACTTGGTGATATCTACCAACACGTCGTTATGGAGTGTAAGAATATGCTGTCTGCTATATTACGTATATTTCAAATGATAAAAATGTTTGCTTTTAAAATCACTCATAACTCTCATAAGGGTGGCTAATAATCATTAGCTATAGCAGTTTTATATGTTGATATAGATGAAATAAATTTAGTCCAAGTGTGTTATAATGATTCGAACAAATTTGGAAAACCACTCATCATTTTTAGCATCAGTTGTTTCAGCATATGGTATTCCATTTCTGATCCCACAGTCTGAGTAACTGCAAAATAAGTTACCAGTTTATAACCAATCAGTGTGATTAAAGACAACAAGGCTTAGTGAGCCCTGTTACACGTACTTTTAATGCTGTGCATGGAATCTGTCTCTAATTTATCGTTCTGCAGTTCAGTCTACATTCAGGTGTGATATACCGTCCCCCAAATTTAGATAGGGACCAGGGAAGACTACTATGGGAGGAAATTGTTAGGGCCACAAGGCACGATAATGTAGTAATTCTAGGAGACTTTAACTTTAGTCATATTGATTGGAATTTCTTGACTGGGAATTTAGAATCATACGACTTCTTAGAAGTAGTTCAGGATTGTTTTCTGAAGCAGTTTGTGACAGAACCTACAAGGGGTAATAACCTGCTTGACTTAGTTCTGGCAAACAATGAATCCCTTGTTAATAATTTAGAATTTTCAGAAGGGAATGGGGCTAGCGACACAAATAAATTTAATTTTAGAATTAAAGGGAAGTATGATAGTAGGGAAACTCAGTAAAAGTACAGATTTTCGCTTAGCGTTTTTTGAGGGCTTAGAGAACACTTATATCTGTTGACTGGGGGAACAAGAGACTTCAATTGAAGTTTTCTGAACACAGTACATGTGCTAAAAGAACTTTTATCCCTTATAAGAAATTGTAAAATAGAAATGCCCCAAAAATGGTAAAATAATAGGTAAAAATATTACTGGGATAAAAAAGGAAATTTAAAGGCGTATCAGAAAGGCGGGGGGTCATCTTATGAACAGTATATTGACACTAAGAGGGACATTAAAAAGGGGTAAGAAAAGTAAAAGGGACTTAAAATTTAAAGTTGCTGGGACTCAAAAAACAAACCCAAAAAATTTTTTTCCAGGTTTAAAAACAAAAGTCAGAGTAGATGGGTCCCCTTAAAAATAACTAGGGGATCTTATGACAAAGAGAATGAAAGTGCTCGATTTTAAATAATTATTTTCTCTCCGTTTTTAACAGGAAGCATAGGGTTTTCCCGGTAATTAATTTTTATAGGGGGCCCAGAAGAAGTTTAAATTATGTAACATCTTAGTCATGGAAAGGTTGTGAAGAATGACGATGAAGCAAAAAAGTCCCCCGGGTCCTGATGGGGTTTTTTAAAGGGTTTCTAAAGGGAATGCAAAATGGAAGTTGTAAACCCCATTAACAAATTTTTTTAATTTATTCTTCAAAACAGGTGTAGTGTCTGATATGGGAAGATGGCAATGTAATTCCTATTTTTTTAAAAAGGGGACAAAATCGTTACCGTCAAATTACCCCCCAATAAGCCTGACCCATTTTTAGGCAAATTATAGAGTAATTTTGCTCAAATTATAAGAAACCTCTCGTAACATACTTGATTAATGATACTCGATGGATTCCAAGGGCCCGGGCTTTTCTAATAATTTATTTAATTTTTTTGAAAACTTTTTAGGCTGTTGACCGAAAAGAAATTTTTTTTTTACTTAGATTTTAGTAGGCATTTTATGAGTTCCCACAAAGCTGTTGAAGAAAGTAGGCTCTGGCATTGGGGGAAAGGTGTCTCGTGGATCGAAAACTGGCTCACAGACAGGAAGCAGAGGTGTCCCTAAATGGGGTTTAATCGGGGTGGGGATAGTAACAAGGGCGTTCCACAGGGATCGTTTGGGCCCGTTTTTTTGTTTTAATATAAATTTAATGATCTTGATGAAAGGGAATTTTAGTGATTGAGAAATTCGCCGATGACCGAAGGGTAGGTTTAAATTTATCAAACGTAGATGTTAGGGAAAATTCAGGAGGATTTAGACAAACTCTACTTTTTGGTCAGAAAAAAAGGCAGATGCAGTTCAAGTAGATAAAGAAGGGTTTGAAGCTCGGAAGTTCCATAAACCCCAGACTTATAAGTTAAATAATGTAGAAACTTAGCCATACAGATTGCGAAAAGGACTTGGGGGTTATGGTAAGCAGCAACCTTAAACCAAGACAGCAATGCCTAAGCGTACGTAATAAGGCAAATAGATTACGGGATTTATATCAAGAAGTGTAAGCAACAGAAGTCCAGAGGTCATACTGCAGCTTTATACATCATTAGTAAGGCCTCACCTAGATTATGCAGCTCAATTCTGGTCTCCATATTACAGAATGGACATAAATTTCCTTAGAAAACATTCAGCGTAGGATGACTAAATTAATACATAGCATTAGAAATCTTCCTCATGAAGAAAGATTGAAGACTCTTAAGTTACATTCACTTGTTAGACGAAGAATGAGGGGAGACCTGATCGAAGTGTATAGTGGAAGATAGGTATTAATAAAGGGATATTAACAGGTTTGAGGATATCTCTCCAAGAGAGAACCCGCAGTAATGGATTTAATTAGATAAGTTTAGATTTAGAAAGGACATAGGAAAGTATTGGTTTGGAAATAGGGTAGTTGATGAGTGGAACAGTCTACCTAGTTGGGTTATTGAGGCTAGGACTTTGGGTAGTTTCAAATTTAGGTTGGATAAGTACATGAGTGGGAGGGGTTGGATTTGAGTGGGACCTGCACATCAGAGCTTATTTCTTGGGTAGCATTGAAAATTGGGTAGGTCAAATGTTTGTTAGTGGGATGAATTGTAAAGGACCTGCCTAGTATGGGCCAACAGGCCTGCTGCAGTGTTCCTCCTTTCTTATGTTCTTATGTTCTTATGACTACTTTGAAGCAGAAGATACTGTTGCTAACGTAAAATTGCGTCCTCGTTTACCTGTCTCTTGCCTCTCAAACAGGCTGTCTTTATCTACCTTATCAGTTTATCTGATTATTCTGATGCAAACCTCTGCTCATTTTAAGTTGGATATGATATATGTCGTATACAGAGCCGACAGGACTTATCGTTGGAAACTAACCTCAGATATACCACATATATTATTCTGTTGATTTGATTCTCATGTGATATGCTTGGTATTATGCTTACCTTGAGATCCTTCTCCTTGAATGAGGTTTACAGCCTTTGTCTCCCGTTCCTGCTTTTCTTTGCTCTTTCAAATTTTCATTATCTTGCACTCTCATTGACTGAACTCCAAAACGACTTGTCAAATCGTCTCGAAAAAAAAAGGGGGGTTTAAATTTAATTAGGGTTTAAATAAAATATTAAATATTAATATAAAAATAATAAAATTTTATTATAATTTTATTTAAAATTAGTGAAATTAAAAAATGAGGGTATTTATATGAAACAAGTTATTTTTAATAAAAAATTTTATAAATTTTTTATATAAAAAATTAAAAAAAAAAATTTCTATTTTTTTTTTTTTTATTTTTATATATTTAAAAAAAATACTTTTAAAAAAAAAATTTTCTTTATTTTTTTTTAAAAAGGGGGTTTTTTATATTTAAATTTTTTTTTTTTAAAAAAAAAATTTTTAAAAATTTATAATAATTTATAAAAAAAAAATTATTTAAAAAAATAAAAAAAAAAAAAAATTTTAAATTTAATTTTTTATATTTTATTTTTATTAAAATTTTTTTAAATTTAATTTTTTTTTTTTTTTCTTTTAAAATTTTTTTTATTTATTTTTAAAAAAAATAAATTTAAATTTTTTAATAAATTTTTTTTTTTTATTTTTAAAAAAAAATATTTTTAAATTTTTTAATAAATATATAGGTTTAAAAATTTAAAAAAAAAAACCCAAAAAAATTTTATTTTTTTTAAAAAATTAATTTTAAAAAAAAAATTTTTAAATAAAAAAATTTTTTTAAAAATAAAAAAAAAAAAAAAAAATTTTTTTTATTTTTTTTGGTTTAATATTTTTATTTTTTATTTTTTATTTTTTTAAAAAAAAATTTTTTTAAAAAAAAAAATTTTTTAAAATTTTAATTTTTTTTAAAATTATTAAAATTTTTTTTTTTTTAAAATTTTTTATTTTTAAAAATTTTTTTTAAAATTAATATTTTTATTTTTTTTTTTTTTATTAAATTAATAAATTTTTTTAAAAAATTATTAAAAATTTATTAAAAATTTATTTTAAAAATATTTTTTTATTTTGATTTTTTAATTAAATAAAAATTTTTAATTTAATTTTTAAAATTTTTTTTTAAAAAAAAAAATTTAAATTTTTTTAAAAAATTTTTTTTTTAAATAATTTTTAAATTTAAATTAAAAAAAATTTAATAATTGTTTTGTTTTTTCCTTAAAAATTGACCAAAAAAAAGTAAAGAATTAATAATTTTAATACTTTATCCGGTATGTTCCTTCTTCCAGCTTATTTAAAATTTATATTGAAATCATAATTCTCATTTAGTTTATGTTTATATATATATATTAAAAATATATTTATATATAAAATATATAATATATATTATATATTTAAGATATATTATATATATTTTTTCACAGTGCCTATAATTATTTATTATATATATATTATATATTTATATATATATATATATATATAAAAAATTTATATATATATATATATAAAATATAAATATATTATAAATATATATTTTATATATATATATATTTTATATATATATATAATATAATATATAGTGGTGTGTGTGTGTGTGTTGTGGTGTAGTGTGTACATTTCATCTAATTGTGGTTGCAGGGGTCGAGTCATAGCTCCTGGGCTCCGCCTCTTCACTGGTCGCTGCTAGGTTACTCTCTCCCTGCTCCGTGAGCTTTATCATACCTCTTCCCAAAGCAATGTATGGATCCTGCTTCCACTAGATCACTTTCCAGACTATTCCACTCCCGGAAAACTCTATGACTGAAGACATACTTCCTAACAT